ATCGAACAGTGAGAGACCGTCTTTCCTATCGCATTGCAGGAAAAGCTGTAGATCATCGACCCAGACCTCAAAGTCGACAGCCCGACCCTCAGCATCAAAGGTGAGAACGCTAGGGGTAGCCATGACAGCAGTAGCAGCAGGCTAGGAGCAGTAGCAGCAGGCTAGGAGCAGCTCAGTAGAAGAGGCGCGGCTTGGCGGTGCTCTTACCAGGGCGGGTGGGTAGAGGTCCGCAAGAAGTGGGGCAGGGCCGAGGCGCGCCGGCAGGGACAGGGCCGGGACGGCGGCGGCGGCTCCTGCTGTCGGCGGCGGCGGCGGCTGCGGCCCCGGCAGCGGCGGCGGCGGCTGTCACGGCAGCGGCGGCGGCGGCTGCTGCTGTCGGCGGCGGCGGCGGCTACTGCTGTCACGGCAGCGGCGGCTGCTTCTGGTGGGGCGGCGACGGCGGGGCGGCAGGGCCGTGAAGGAGCCGAGAAGGGGCCGCGGAGGAGCCGAGAAGGGGCCGCTAAGGGCGGCGAAGGGGCCACGAAGGGCCGTGAAGGGGTCGCGAAGGGCGGCGACGGGGCCGAGAAGGGGCCGCGAGGGGCCGCGAAGGGCGGAGACGGGGCCGAGAAAGGGCCGCGAAGGGCGGCGACGGGGCCAAGAAGGGGCCGCGAGGGGCCGCGAAGGGCGGCGACGGGGCCGAGAAGGGGCCGCGAGGGGCCACGAAGGGGCCGCGAGGGGCCGGAAGGGGCCGCGAAGGGCCGTGAGAGGGGCCGCGAAGGGCCGCGAAGGGGTCGCGAGGGGCCGTGAGAGGGGCCGCTACGGGGCGGTAAGAGGGCGCGACGGGCCGCTAAGGGCAGGGGACGCGACGGGATGGCAGGCACACGGGGCGCGACTCAGGCAGGAGCGAAGCGCGCTCTGGGCAGGAAAAAAAATTCGATTTTCGTGGTGGGCCCTAGGAAACGTTCCCATTAGGGAACCTGCTCTATACCATGTGAAAGAACGAGGAATGAAAATGACTAGGTGAAATGTGGGTACAAGTAGAAAACCTAGAAATGTTGTACCCTATAGTATCTACCCCACTATAGCCTAGATAGACCATAGCATATAAACTTGACAAGAAGGCCCTCCGGGACTCTTGAATGGGTAGGGGGACTCTTATTGTGGCAGGTTTTGTGAGGAGTCCCCTTTTGCCCCTAATCATTATAAGTCCCTCCTTTTATGTATATAGTAGTTCTTTTAGCTATTACGCGTAAGCTTTTACTGGCAGAAATTCGAATTCTGACACCCTTTTTGTATCAGACTCGAATTGTGACACTCTATTTGTGACACATTGGAATTCTAACACAGATCTGACGCGCCGCTCGCGCGAAATATGCAAACATGGGGTGTTTTTCGTTATGAATATACAAGACCCCCCCGCCCGAATCTGAGCCGTACACCCTAAATAGCATATTCATAGTTGTTAAATAAGTAACCACGGGTCTTGAAAAATTGCTTTCGTCATGATGTCCACCCAAACATATTTCCAAGCATTTGTAGAGAGTCCCCTGGGTCTTACAGCTGGATCTATATGGGATATACATATATATAATAATATATACAGTTGTCGTCACCGCCTATACCGCGTGTATCAATGTTTTCTCCATTTCACACATATAGTGTCTTTTACCATTTCGTAACAATTGATTCGACTGTTGTTCTTCCTACTACTACCATCGCGCCCAAACTGCATGGTTCAATTGGTATCCCGCCACTCGGCCTTCCGCCTCGATAATTTTCGACCTCGGAACTAGGCTCGTGGGGCACCTCTTCGCTCGTTCGTTACCGTTACCATTTAAAATATTTTTTCAACGACTCGCTTATGTCTTCGCTTTCTGTAATCTTGTGCATGACGCAATTCTAGCTCGTTGACTCAATTGCACATGTAACACTGACACAATAGAGCATGCTTCCTAGATGTTGGTAAATCTGGACCACTTGAAACACGCCCTAGGTAGTTGTAATCAGAGTCTAGGTATTGCCTTCCATAGTAGTAACGTTGCGCATTCACTTTCTTGCTACAACTCGCTGTTCCAGCACTTACGCGCGTGACTTTCCTGGTAACACTCTTTGTCGCTCATAACAACCGATGCTGTGCTCCCCAATTCGAACAAAGTGCCAACCGTGCAGCACCGTCATTTTCGAAGTGGAGCCACCCACTCGCGCTCAACGCGGCGGTCCTTCGGGTAGTGCACTCGGCCATGCCAACACATCGTGTAAGCTCGCCACGTCGCTCCGCCACATGCGAGACATGCCACTCGACGCATCCGCCCGGAGTGTATCTAGACTGCCAACGACCTTCCGGCCACTCGGCCGGACAGTCGTCTCGCGGTATTGCAAACCCCGCGAGAAATCCCGCAAGCAAGGTCTAGTAGGAGTCGCAGCTGCCGCGGCCATCGTTCGGGTTGACGAGTTTCGCGGTGGCTGGACTCCGTGGGTGAGCTGTGCGCGTATCATGCCACACCTCGTTGACACCACCGCACCCGTGCACACGACGGTGTGTATGAGTCACTGCGAAGCGCGCCCGCTGTCAGCGCACCCCCGCTCGCGCATGATAGCGAGCGGTGATGACGGAAGATGGCAGGGGCTGTGGTTTGACAGGTGGGTTGCGTTGTAAGAAGCAAGCATCCACCGCAGGCTTACAGAAAGAGCTACAAGTTTACCGTTGCTGTGCCTCGAAACAGCTCCCTGGACTCAGGGGCGTTACTCGAACTGCTGTATGGAGTCACAAACAATGCGCGAATTGTGGGAGGAATACAGGGGGTTGTTGCTTGCAGCAGGTCGGAGTGGCCAGTGTGGTTGGCAGTGGTGAGTCCAGGGGCCATGGAGAAGGGAAGGGAGGGGAGGGTAGTAGTACGCACTAGGTTCGTGTTAAGGTTGGTTCGCCCAACCACGGAACCTAAGGCGAAAGCACCTACGACGGCGGAATGACGGCAAAATGGAAGCGCGTGTGTGAAACGGTGGAAATCGGGCTACGGTGGGGAATAGAGGCTACGGCGTGAGAAGCGGGAGAGAAATCGAGAAGAAATGTGCTAGAAGGAGGGAGAGAGAAGGAGAAGCATCGAGAATGAGATTGACGAGGGGAAAAATGTGCTTCGAGACCAAGGCGCGTTCGAGAAAGTTCGGGATTCGGACTTGCGGAGTGTTCACCGAATTCGGTTCGGTTGCGTGTGCGACCAGGGGTGAAACGAGGCGCACGCGGTTACTTGGGAAACAAGTGAAGTTACGAATCGCATTTTGTGTCTTGCTTGACTATAAACCTGTTTGTACTCATTCTGGAAATACAACATTGATACCAATCAGATTCTGAAAATTGCTGAAGTGTGTATTGACAACTTCAAGCAGAGCTGCGCATATCATTGGATTCGGGAGATCGTGGAGAACACGATAGGCGACAGCAAGTAGACTATTGCCGACTAAGGTGCTTACGATCCTGAGAACTGGTATCAGAGCTGGTTTAAGTGGCGTTTAAGCATTCTTAAGTGCAGAGCGAAGCTTTCGAGATGGTCGGCAGACAATCGGAAGCTAGTTCGGGCTCCTCTGTGAGTATTGGAGATCCCCAAGTGAAGGCACTTCTGGAAATGCTAGCGCAAGGAGGGGTGGTGACAAAGCCCACCATGAGGCTCAGTGAAGCCCAACGATTCCACGGCCAACACTACAGCACGTGGAGATTGAAGTTCATAAGGAGGGCGAAGGAAGTCGGTTTTTGGGAGTACTACCGACCGGATGGAGAAGGTGACGCAGCCGCGCGTAAGGCGAGATCGGATGAAGAAAAGGCGGAATACAAGAAGAGGAGTAAGCATGCATTTTTTCAGTTATGTCATTCCGTTGCTGACGGGATTGCAGTGGGTTTGGACGAATTTGCAGAGCGCGAGAACTCTGCACAGGCGGCATGGGCTTACATGGAGTCTACATACCTCGGGCACATGGACGCGAATATCGCCGATGTGAGGAAGAAGTTGCTGCTGATGACCATGGAGCCGAACCAGAAGATTATTGACTATGTCAACATGGCGAGGAGCTACAACGACGACTTAACTGCGATGGGCGAGCCGGAAACCGAGCGGGCGATGATCGGGCACATCGTCAACGGTCTACCGGAAGATTGGGCGGGTGAGCGGCCGGTGTTGATCTGCCACCCACCGGAGAATATGACGAAGCTTATTGCCATGCTTCAGGCGTTGGAGCGAGCAAGAGAGCATCAGAAGCGACGGGAGAAGTTTACAAGGGGCTTTGTGGAGGAGAAGCCTGCGTTGGTGAATGCGGCAGCTGCTGGAAGGAGCTCGGGAGCGTGCTACCAGTGTGGACAACTCGGGCATCGTGCGTTTGAGTGTGTGGAGAACCCGAGGAGTAGAAACTACAAAGGGAACGGTGCGGGATGGAGTGGTGGACAGCAACACGGAAGGTTCAATGGTGCGTGCCATCACTGCAAGAAAATTGGGCATCGTGCAATTGATTGCTACTTGAATCCCAACGGCCGTAACTACAAAGGACCGTTGAAGCAGGAGCAGCAGCAGAACGTGGAGGCCAAGGCTAACATGGCGGAAGCGGAGAAGGAAGAAGAGGATCCGATTTTGGGGGGAGCGCATCTTGCGAACGTGGTGCGTTTACCAATGGAGGTTCGGCAGACGGACGGACGTGAGAAGACGACATGGTTCATGGACAGCGGATGCACGCGTCACATGACATTCAGGTCAGATTGGATGGAGAATGTGAGGGAGTCGAGTGAGGATTATATACTGCAAGGTAACAGTGGGAAGTTACCAGTGACAGGAGAGGGTGACGTGGTGCTGCAGAGTCCGTATGGAGTAGTGAAACTGGAGAGTGTGTTGCTGGTTGCGGATTTGAAGGTGAACTTGGTCAGTCAGTCACAGCTTGATGACTTGGGGTGCAAGATATTCTATGACAGTGGTGAGGTGACTGTGTTTGGTCCTGAGTGGGAGAAGTATGCTGATGGTTACTTCAGTGACGGGTTCTATGAGATGAACTTGGTCGCGACGAATGATATGGATGAGATCTATGAGGATCCTGAGTATGGTGAGATGGGAGAACTGGAGGAGTTATTGACTAAGGTTGATGAGAGTGAGGACTCGGATGATATGGCTGCGAGTGTGGAGGCAGCAGTGAAGCAGGAAGAGGAGATAGTGATCACGGAGGCAGCAGCAGTAAACGGTGGAGATGGAGACGATGTCAACACTTTTGCAGCAGCGATCGTGGTTGAAGATGAAGCAGTAAATGCGAAGTATGTGGGAGTTGAAGCTGTGAAAGGGGACATCATGGTGAAAGGATCAAAGGCGAATGCAACTGCAAAGGGGCAAGTGCTTAAGGAGGATGAACGCGTTGAAGGGTACGAGACCCGAGAGGTGTTGGGTGTAAAGATGCCGAGGAGAAGCGAGAGGCATAAGAAAATCTCTCAAGGTTTGGATGTCAAGGCGCTCAACTACAAGAGACATAAGCAGAGGTTCAAGGTGCAGGAGCTGCAGGGGAGCGTGAAGCCGACTTAGACCCTGTGAAGGCTACAAGGAGCAGGGGAGCAGTGCGAGTGGTGTTCGTGGTTGACGAACCACAGGGGAGATTGTTAGGGTTGGTTCGCCCAACCACGGAACCTAAGGCGAAAGCACCTACGACGGCGGAATGACGGCGAAATGGAAGCGCGTGTGTGAAACGGTGGAAATCGGCCTACGGTGGGGAATAGAGGCTACGGCGTGAGAAGCGGGAGAGAAATCGAGAAGAAATGTGCTAGAAGGAGGGAGAGAGAAGGAGAAGCATCGAGAATGAGATTGACGAGGGGAAAAATGTGCTTCGAGACCAAGGCGCGTTCGAGAAAGTTCGGGATTCGGACTTGCGGAGTGTTCACCGAATTCGGTTCGGTTGCGTGTGCGACTAGGGGTGAAACGAGGCGCACGCGGTTACTTGGGAAACAAGTGAAGTTACGAATCGCATTTTGTGTCTTGCTTGACTATAAACCTGTTTGTACTCATTCTGGAAATACAACATTGATACCAATCAGATTCTGAAAATTGCTGAAGTGTGTATTGACAACTTCAAGCAGAGCTGCGTATATCATTGGATTCGGGAGATCGTGGAGAACACGATAGGCGATAGCAAGTAGACTATTGCCGACTAAGGTGCTTACGATCCTGAGAGTTCGGAGCACATGGCGCCTGCCACAGCCCTGTGAGCGGCCAAGGGCAGCGATGCTTCCCCATGGGCGCTGCTTGCCGTGGGACACGGATGGGATACAGCGAGAGACACGGATGGGAAGTAGGAGAAGAAGCTAGAGAGAGAGATCATTGCATGTGCTGTGATCACTGATCAGTCCCCATGCGGACAGTGGCAGGCAGTGGCACATGAAGGCTGTGGTTTCCATCGTGTGCTGTGCACTTGCTGGGAGCCTCGCTTCGCTTGCAGCTGTCTTGTGATTCACGTCCGATAACACGCGTGCTTCGTGCAGAGGCAGTGTGTTGCACAAAGCATGCACCCTGCTGTATGGCGCCGAGTACAGGCCAGCACTGGTGAAAAGAAATGGCGCTGGGTGTCATCATCATCAGCACATGCATGCTATGCGGCAACAACAGGATCATGCTTTTCTCTAACCCTATGCATTTTTGTTGAAGCAGGAGCCATACCGAGGGTTGGAGCTGCTGCTGCTGCTGGGCAGTTTTGTATGGCTTGTGCCACCCTGGGGTGCAGCTGCAGTGCGACTACACCCTTACGATGGTGGGCTAACTGATTTGCTTAGTCCTCTCAAGAGCAATTGCAGTAGCTGATTAGCACAGCACAGCAGTGAAAGATACTGGCAGTCTGTATTAGTCGTTGCACTAACGACACAGAAGATGCGCGTCCATCCCACTCAAATCCATGCACCCCTTGTACCTGACCCCATCCGTGCCTCCATCCCAGCCTCCAAACTTGCAGTGCTGGCCAGCGAGTGGGGCAACTTCAATGGCAGCGACACATGGCAGCGTCGCGAGGTGGACTGCCATGCAATGGAGGGCATCCGGTGTGACAGGGACGGCCACGTCACTGCCATGTGAGCGCACGCATGGACAGTCTGGGCCCACCCAGGCCGTGCAGCCAGCTAGTGTGTGTGTGCAGTGTGTGCATGGCCCAGCGCCTCTGAGGGAGTGGTGGAGCGTGGTGTGGAGTGGAACAGTGCAACTCACTTGCTCACCGCTGCTATGCTCTGCAGCTTCATGCCCCTCACTGGGATTCAACACCAAAATCACCAATCGCCTCCCAATGTGCTTTCCGTTTTTGTGTCTTCCAATTGATGCAATGCTTTTCTATTTGTTTCTCAGAACCCTGCAAACCACGCTTTATGCCATACTGATACTGATGCTTCTTCTCATACCACGTTGACACTTTGCCATACCATGTGGCATGCCACATTTTCAAAAGAAATGCATGTGACAGTGAGCATTGTTCTTCCGCCAAATGAGTCCATTCACCACAGAGTACTGGAAGATTTCGAACTGGGTGCACCAATACCTGACACAATCAGCCACTTCCAACGCCTCACATACCTGTGAGCTCTTATTGCATCTCCCTGCACGTCAAGCACTCATCAGGACCTGCAATTATGACTCAGAATTGAGATTGATTTCTTTCTGCTGTGTGCTCCTCCCTCCACGCCCAGAGGGCTCTAGATTTGCCACCAGGTCTGGTCCGTGGTCTCAACGGTGCTGTGCCACAGGGGTCTCCCTCAGCACCATTGGCCCTCTCACCACCATTGCCCCTCTCAGCACCGTTGCCCCTCTCAGCAGTTTTGGGATGGCTCGAGATTGGCTTAAGTTGGTCCGCACCGGCCGAGGTCGGGCTGGCCTTGAGTGTCGGCCAGTGGCCCGACTCATGGGGCCGTCCGGTTCCTGGCCGGACTGGGACAGGCCGGTACCCCTTTCGAGATAGTCACATGAACAAAAGGGCGATCCAGGACCCTGGTGTTACAGGTAACCTAAACTGGGCATGTTTAGCAGCACGTTTAGAGACTAGCAATGCGAACACAATAGCACAGCCAACGTTCCCATTGTTGTGACTGAGCTGCTGTCGCGAGCAACTTGTCACACGGGGCAAATACTTAATAAGAACATGAGAGCTGGAATTCTGAAGTGAAATTCCTCTATACTTGTGGCCCATTTGCTTCCTCCCTCCTTGACCAGGAGGCTCTATTTCTGCCAAATCACCGGGACCATTCCGAGCAGCATCTCCAACTTAGCATCCCTTGTGTTGCTGTAAGGCCTCACTGATTCCGCCCTTACACCAGGCATTTTCCATCAGGCACTTACACTTACGCTTCCGTTCTTATGCGTATCATTAACACATGTGTTTACTAAGATCTCCTTCCACTTGTTTTTGTTACCACATCGCTTGCTCATCACAGTGTTTTAGGAGGCAATTCAATTTCAGGCAGCCTTCCTGCCAGCATCAGCCGTCTGACCCGCTTACAAATGCTGTGTGTATAGACATAAGCACAACCTTTGGTACATGGGCATAGATAGTAGAATGCAAGTGTGTGCATAGCTGTTGCAGCATAATTTCATATTTTTGCAACTGCAATATTTGTATTACACATGTCTCTATAAATAGAAGCATTGATTGCATGTGCACGATGTATTCTTACCTTTGATCTCCAGCATACGAAACCAATTTCTCTCCCGTTCCCTTTCCACAACATTCGCTTCTTCAATTTCAGGACTCTTGATTTCAACCGCATGTCTGGCCCAATAGACTCCATCTGCAACTTGACGCAACTGAGAAAATTGTCAGTCCTCTGCTGCAACTCCTTGTTTTGCCCGCTGCTAGCTACCCCTGTTAAACCTTTCTCTTTTTCACTCGCAGTACCTTGTATAAAATAAAGTTGAGGTTAGACACAGGGTGAGAAGGATAAACACACAGGGTGGCCTAAGAATGAAACTCAATGGTGTCACGTTGAGGAGACCACAACAAGTTATAACTTTACCGACCACCATTTCTGACCTTTCTAATTTTGTCCTTTTCCTCAAAGTCGTGCACATGTAATTATCTCGTTGTGACATTTCACTGTCAGATTTGTGCGCATCTGGCACTTGCTTGGTTGAAGCAGTTGGCGGGACCGGCTTTGGGGAAAGAGAGTGAGGGTTGCATAAATCAAGTTGTACTCGACTAGGGACCAAAAAAAACCCGAGCTTTCTTTGCTCGACTTTATGGTCGAATAACGAGTTGGTCTCAAGTGAAAAGAACTCGGTCCGAGTAAGTCCCGACTCGGCTTGAAACTCAATTGAGTAGCAAGAACGATTTAAGTTTTACTCGACTTGTAAAATACTCATGCTTAGTCAAGAAAAGGTTCGTTGCTTAAGCTATTCCTGGTAGAAGCCTAGGTGAGGAGGGAGATGAATTCCAAAGTAAAGGCTCTTCATTTTCTGTAGTGCTCACATCTCACTTTCTGAGTGTATGTTCCCTGTTACATATAAACCATCCAGGATTCTTACTCATAACCAGTTCAATGGTTCACTTCCTCAAGAGCTGGGCAACCTCAAGCAGCTCTTCAGCTTGTGAGATGCACACTGCGCCACTGCCCCTACAAGAAAGCTTGAAAAGCTAGTTGAAAGCCGAAGTAATTCTGTATCTTGGAGACAAGATGAGACAAGTAGGCTATGGTGAACGGCCAAAGGAAGATGGTGTTGCAATCCCACATTTGCTTGCTCTGTGGATCTCAAAACTGAATGCACTGTGAGCTTCAACCAATCCTTGTCTAGGTAATGGTCTGAAGAGTTGATGTATGATTTTCTAGCTGAAAAGGTTTCAATTACACAACTGTGGTGTTTCAGAGTGGATTTGAAAGTTAATGACGAGAATCACCCGAATGGTTTCAGAGTGCTTCAGTTCCGAGTGATTTTCTTCCTATGGCCACCTGGCCTCCTCCCTTCCCCCATCAGGTCAAGGAGTGCTCGTCCTGGTTTGAGATCTGGTAGGCAAGCGAAATGTGTGTGATAAGCTACCATCACCGGTCATTGAAGCAAAGAGGGAGGAGTAAGGGGATGAAGCACCAGCACAGGACTTGTACTACTTGAGAATCAAATCGAAATGGCAGCAGCACGAGCAGCGCTAGAGCCTCACATGGACGTCAAAGCCACGCCTCTGGCGAAGCTGGTGATGCCGCACTCAGGAGGGTGGCAGGCGGTGGAGGGGAGGGAGAGGCGCCACATCCATCCCCGGGAAGCAGGACCACAACAGCTGCTGCCGGAAACATGCTCACGCTCGCACGCGGAACATCATTTTTTCGCCTCAGGCGTGCCCTCAAGTTCGTTTCACGTCGTTGCGCGCCTCCGTGCCTCTACGCTTCTACCTCACTGACAGCATTCCAGCTACCCCCTGCCCTCCGCACTCACCTGCACGCGCGTGCGTGATTGCGACGCGGATCGTACGCCTCTCTGCAGCGTCGACACGTCTTCGTCTCGCCGCTCCCACTCCCTGCCTCCGCGCTCAAGCCCGCTGCTCCGCCGCTTGCGCCCTCGCGCTCTCCCGGCGCTGCGGGGCTGCCCTCCGCGGCGGCGGAACGATCGTGCGCCTGTCCGCCTGCCCCCGCCACCGTCGCCACCCTCACCGCGCCTGCGCGCGCCTGTGAAGGGATTGTGCGGGCGGAAAGCCGCGGCAGGGCGGCGGAGGGCGGCGGCGGCGCGGAGGTGCGCAGTGCGGTCAAGTGCGGCTGCGGAAAGGCCCGCGTGTTCATTTTCGGGACTCCCGCGACGACGGCGATGACGGTGGCGGGGTGAAACACACGCGCTCAGAGATACGATTGACACGACAAAAGTTCGGTTTGCGTCAACTGACTGAAATGGGAAGGACAGAGGGAGGGAAGGTGTGTTGCTCTCTGCTTGGCGAGGTTGGGTGGGCAGAAAAGGTCGGGTTCAGAGTTTGTGCGGTAGTGTTCAGCGGTACTTCCAGGTTCCTGACGTCGCCACGCCAACACGATTGAGTGTCGAGTCGACGGGCATTTCGGGAACCCAGCCTGAATTGCGCCGTCGCCGTAGTCCGCAACCCTTTTCTGCGATTACGACACCGTTTCGTTGGGGTGTGACGAAATTGGAGGGATTCGGCGTGGGGTGATGATTGATGAATCGTGGCATCCAGCATGAACCGCACGCCGCTCCTGCTCTCCTTTCTGTTTTTCCGAATAACTAATTTTCAGCGCATCTGCTGTGGTGAAAGTCCGTGCGCTACGTTATGACAGGCACTATGCATCGCGATCTCGTTGCCGTGTCAGCCACGCTTCGCCCGCGCGCCTTGCGCCCCGCACTGCAACACTGTCCTCCTCGCTTGCACCGCATCGCCTCCTTCTCCTGATCGCCCAGCTCGCTCCTCGCCTCGCGTCGCCCGCCGCAACCCCCGGCGCCCATTTCACCCACTCGCCGGGTGACGTGCCAGCAGTGGCAGCAGCAGCAGTGCCGCCGCGCCATATCCCATCCCCTATTCACCACAATTTCCGCTCGTCTGTGTCGTCACGACCATTGCGGTTGTGGCAACCCCCCCCCCCTCCCCCCCCCCCTTCCCCCACCCGTAGTCTAGCTCACTACCTCGTAGAGTGTATCTCCGCAAGATGCACTTATTGCAATATCCCAACAATCGCACAATTTAGATAATATTTTAATATGACATAAGATTCCCAAATCTTGAGAATTTTGTAACTTAGGCAACCTTGTTCGGAATAAGGCGATCTTGGTATCGTTGGAAAGCTCTGGATTTCTCCTGCGTGATTAAGCAATTAGACTTGGAAATAAACACAATGGTGATAAAATCCCACAGCCATGCATAATAATATATGCTCATGCAAGTAATGCAAGCATGAATCGCACGATCACTTCGCAGGACATCAGGATGACATGCACTCAAACCGACGTGCATAAATATGTAACACCTCCATGCCTTGAAATGCTGTGACATTTGCTAGCGCCTCTTTGTCATGTATCAGATACTTTAACTCCGCTCGTTCTTGTTTAGGTACACAATCGGTTCCAACCCGTATCCGTGGTCTTGCATCCTTATTGCTCCATGGCTTGGTCTTCCGCGTTGACTTCCACCGCGCAGTCCTTGTCTGGGTCGAGCAGGATCAGTAGTGGGGCGGTTGTCTGAGCTGTTTCTCGTTGCTGCATGGCATGTTGTTGAGGAGTATTTCATTTACACAGTGTATCCTTTTTCAGTATGTTCGTGAGCGGTGTGCGATCTTTGTATACTGCAGCATTAACTTGTTGTAGTTGGCAAAGCCTAGGAAGTGCTGTGATCTTTGTATACTACAGCA